CTCGTCCCGCAGGACTCGCAGACAGACAAAGAGACTCGCAGACGAGAACGAACAAGGGACCGTCCAATAGGAGGGGGAACGAGCATGGGACGAGGAGTGGAGGACGGCGTGTTGTGTATCTTTGCCTCGGGAGAACAACAGCTGACTTGGTGTTTTTAGTGCCCGAAGCAAGTTCCGTAATGAAGCTCTCCACGTAGCAAGCCAGGGAATGTCGGAGGGGCATCCGACAAACGTTTCGGATCATTATGAAAGCTTATCTCGCCATGGCCACCCCCTGCGCCCTCCTCGTTCACTCCTCCGGTCGGTCTGAGCGTTCGTGTCCCTAGTTGTTTCCCACGCCTCGCAGATCCGCAAGTGACGGCAGGTAACGACACCATCTGCCGGATCGGAAACAAGAGCGGTCCTAACCGATCGTTCCCGATGGAGGCCCCGAAGTGCTTCTGCAGTCTTCGATTCGCTTTTTCGCGTCTTAGCTCCGCCGGTCCCTGAAATTTCTGACCATTAGGCAGATAATATGAGCGTACGCGAGCGACCTTGAAGCTTCGTCAGCTGCGGAAGAACGTGAAGTCAAATCGTTAATTATTTTTACGTAAGCTGACCGAAAAGAGTGCTCGGGATTGTGGGATACAAACATCAGCAACAAGGAAGAGGACAAACGCCAACACTGACTTGATGCCGTGCGATAGCCGACGAACGTCCTTCTGGTGTTCATATAAGAAAATCCCACTGCAGATGGTGATGTTGCTGATGATGACGCGTTACAAATATGGCGGCTTCCGTTTCCGGCTAGTTGTATGTCCGCTGACTGGACTCTCCGCCCGTCTCCATGAGCTCTGTGTCGGTGACAACGACGGCGACGTCGTCGTTGGCGTGAAGGTCTTCTCTCGAAGTGCTCGACATGTTCCGCAGCCGAACGATTCGGTCTACTACATTTTAATAATCAATTTGCTTATTGTGGGGACGAACGGTCCCTGCGTCCGTCCGTCCGCTCGCCGCAGTCGGCTTGCCTGCATAAAAAACATAATCGATTGCCGTGGGTCGCATTCTGGTTGCCCAATAACTATCAGCGTCCTTTAGAACAAAATGTTATTGATCCAATACCAACGAAGCGCTGGAGGGAAACGCTCGCTCGTGGGTCAGTCCACGGACACCCGCCGAGCAGTGCTCATACAAATACTCTTCGAGCTACGTATCCGCACAAAGCCGAAGCGCTTCACGTCCCCGCGGAAGTCACAACGGGGAAAGATCGAGCATCGTAATATCCGTTCGCCGCCCGGCCACCCGTTCGCTCGGTCGCTGAGCCCCGCTGGGCTCCTGGAAACAGGAGATTCCAGGGCCGACTCCGAAGCGGGAAATAATTTCAAACGGAGGCGAGAACGGATGGCTCTCGACTGTGGTGTCCAGTGGTAGGAAGGAAGGATCATCATGAGACAGAAAATCGCCGCTCGAGGAATATTCCACCACGTTGGATTGGATGTCCCAATTCGAAGTCGGACAGCGCTTTCCGAAAACGGGGGTTTGTAGGCTTGCGAGAATTAATGCAATAAATGACGTGAAAGATCACTTCAAGCGAAGGGAGGCTCAAGCTCCGGAGCTCTGAGTGGTAGCACACAGAAAAGAGCCGGTGAGTACACGGTGACGGCGTCGTCGAAGGCGACAGGGGCGGGGGAAAAGCAAACAGGACGCAGCTCTCACAAACTCGTAAAGGAGACATTATCTTCAGTAACAGCGGATGGCGGCTCAAGTTTACGAGGGCAAACCTAGGAACCCAAGGTGAACTGCTTTGCTATGTGCTGTTTGTCGCACCACTGCGAACTCTACCACTGTCCTACCGTCTTCTTCACCTTTTCTCAAGTGTTCCCAGGCGGAGTGAAGTCCTTCGAGGCTCTCTCAGGTCCCTAAGATCGCTCGTTCTCCCGTCGTGGAAAATCGACAATTCTTGCTCGTGGCTCGTGATTCGTGAGGGACTGGCTGGAGTCGAGACCATATGATGAAACGGAAGGTCAACGTCCGACTTTTGGCGAGAAAATTCGGGAAAATACTCAATGGAAAAAATAGTCAAGTTCGAGATCCCCCCTGCGGACGAGCACGGAGCTTGTTCGCTTATCTCGATGCGAATTTCGGAGCGGCCTTTTTCGAATCGATACTCGTCGTCCGACCAGGTATTCTGCGGGCTGACCGTGGGATCCGTTGACGGAAGCTTGCCGCGACGACAGAGCAGATGCTCCCTTCATCCACTAATTCACTCGGTTCCTCGCCGCGGAATGATACCGGGTCAGGAGTGTTTGGTCGAAAAAGAGAAAAAGTTCCTTCAAGTTGTCCCTTTGTTTGGCTGGAATCGATTTTCTTCCCCTTGTTCTTCGACTCGACAAGCAGTCCTCCGTGTTCTTGGCTTTTGCGTCGAGGACTCCGACTAAGAAAACGGAGAAGACGGCAGCGACGATTGGAAGAAACAACGATTCGGGGGCGTCAAACTTTGCTTCGTACTTTTTTCTTCCCCTGTCGCTCTGCCGGCAGTTCTCGTACGCCCTCTTGCTATACGTGAAGTTTGGCTGCTGCTTCTGTCCTGTCTTCGTTAAGAGAGCGGCGTATTCGCTTAATTAGGAGCCGAGAAAAGGAAGAAACTGTTTGTGGAGGAACAGAGACGAACGAGGAACGACGAAAAGTGAGAAACGAGCTGAGAAAAGCGGGGACACAAGGAGGAAAATCTGAAAGAAGGTGCAGAAATCCCTGAACGTCGTATTCCTAGGTAGCGAACTTCAGAGGGAGCGAAGCTGGAAAGCAACGAGATCCGTTCAGATCTGGACCTCCTACAGCAGAGCGGCAATATCAACTTCCGGAGTCATCATCGATCGATCGATTGGTTGAGCAAGGAGAATGGAGGGTTTAATGCTTTCATCTACGCGAAAAAGGGAGAGGGAATCCGGAAGGGGGTATGGGTATGGAACAAAAGAAGTCCTCAGGCGAGATCCAGGTCACAGCGCAGAACGGGACTAGGATCCCGACCGGGGACTCGACGAAAATCTAGACCGGGCTGTGTGCGAGGCAGTTTGAACCCCCTCGCAGCGGAGTCTCTAAATACGGAGCGTAAACCGATGATTCTGCGCTTTTTGCCTCCGTTGTGGCGGACAAGGCATGACAACACTTGCTCGGTCACTCTTAGCCGAATTGCTTGTTTCTTTGGCGAGTTCGTTGCTCGCCAGCGCTTCAGCTTGCCCGCGAGCCCCGCTGCTGATAAGGCACTCCTGCGTCCAGAACTCATAAAATCAGCAGAAGAGATAAGGCTGATGGCTTTGATGGGAAACGGGAGAGGGAGAGGGAGCAGGAAGACAGGAACGACCGAACAACCAAGCTCCTCGCGACACTCTGTATGATTGTCGCCTGTTGCGATTTCCCGTCCACCGGGCCTGAGAATCTCCCGAGGAATATCGACTAAATTCTCCCTTCGTTCAACTTTCGGAGTAACTTCGCGGGACTACCTAATGATAAAACTGTTCAAAGCGGATTTAGAAGTGAAACTTTCCCCAAGACGCAGCCAAGAGCATTGCGGTGCGGGAAGAGGGAGGTAACCCAAAGACGGTGACTCGGCACGTGCTCTAACGCCGCGCTGCCGTAGTCGAAGGTCGACGCTCGGTCTGCACCTGGATGATGGAGTAGATTCATTGGGGGAGTAGTTTTTTATTATTTTTTTTTCTCTCTTCTCTTCTTCCCTTTTAACGATACTCATAAATACACGCTATTAGAGCGAGGCGACGGAGGCCTCCCTCGTCCGATGGCTACTCAGGGTTTGGGCGGAGTTTGGTCGAGCTCGCTTGAAGGCGTGTGGGATTAAAATAAAAAAGAGGCTCCGGCAGGGAAGGGTTTGATCCTCGGCTCCTGGGTTCTCAGCTGAAAATCTTTCAGGTTCTTTTTTTCCGGTAGACGATTCTTTGTTTCGTCTCCATCTCATCCTGCTCTCGGTTCCATCTTCCCGAGATTTGCTGACTTAAAAACAAAAGCGTCCGCTTCGAGGACCCGCGGCGAGAGGTTTTCCTGGATTCGTGCCCAAATAATAGGAGCTGCCAGTGGAGCTCAGGAGATGATGGGAGAAGGAACGAACTCTGAATGATTGGGAACAAACCTGCGTAGGAGCACGAAGCTGTTCCTCTCGGTACTCCTTGAGTTTCAACCGCTCGTTGTTCGGCCCCTCCACTCTGAAACGTCAATAGATGCTCCGTCCCGAGCCCCCGTCAGGGGAGAGGAGACCGTTGAGAAGTGTATACGGAAGAAAATTCCTCCGTCAATACTCATCAGTGCAAGTTTTCTTTCGCGAAGAACCGCTGCGGTATCTCAGAAAGAGAGTATGACGCAATTTGTACCTGTCCGCTGGTCCCGACCATTGCATCGCCGAATTTCCGCCCTGTGGATATCCCGGGACCGCGACTGTCCGCATGGGGATGCGGCAGAAGTTCCGTCTTCTGCAGGGTTCCTCGCTGTGGCGCGGCGCCCAGCATGGAGAAGATGATCGGGATTGCCCTCGCCGCCTCTGTGGAAGGAAAAGGCGAAAGTTGGCTTTGTGTTATCCCGGATTTAGGGCTGACATTCTCTCTTTCTCACCCTCGTTAATATCGGGGAGCGTACTCGAGGCACTGTCGCGCATGCCAAACAGACCAGCGGGACCTCATCACAACATGGGGCTCCGGACTGGTTCGTGACGTTGCGGCGAGAGGTCTCGCTTGTTGAAACCTCATCTCGTACACGAATTAAATCAATGATACGACCGGAATTATTATCTGGGAGACTTCCATTTCATACGATACGCACTTCAATCCTTAGTCGAAACTCCAGTTAGACGCACGTCGGAAGACTCAGGAGAGAGAGAAAACAATTTTGAGATATCCTATCTATATTCGGACCCTCATCAATCCACGGGAAAAATAATTTCGGAATTAGGTGAATCGATCTTGCGAGAAACGGCATTCCTTGGTATTTGTCAACTAATCCCAATGCATTCCTTCCAGTTATCGATATGTCGCCCGGAGACGTTTCCGTGACGGATGGAACTTCAATCTTGGGCGGGACTGCGGTGTTGCGGTGCATAACCAGCAGTCCTACCAGAGAGCATCTCACTGTCCACAGCTGGCAAACGGACGACGGTTTCGCCATGAGCACAGACAGCAACGTGATCGGCAACAAGTATCACACGTCGCACAATGGAAGAGTACTTCTAGTACATAGCGTCACGCCACAGGAAGAGAAACGTCGATTTCGGTGCTCCGTTTACAATAAACTCACCGGTCGGAAAGTCAACAGCGTGCAATGGGCCAAGATCACAATCATAGGTGAGTGGATGAATGATAGGTTCCTACCGCTGAAGAAGAGATTCGAATCCTTCGAATAATCTCCGCTCGGAGTTTGAACTCACTCGTTTCATGCAAAACGCGGTTCTCCGGAGAGCTTCGATAATGAACCGAGCGCGACGGGGGAACGCTCGACTTCGAACTAAAACCCGCAGATCAGCTCCATATCGAAAAGAAAGAACGAGGAGTTATGTGCGATAGGAGGATGGGAAACGAGCCCAGAAAACGAGGGGGAGGAGGTTGTTTTCGTTGGCGTTGTTGTCGGTTTCTCGTGGTGCTGTGTTCTGCGTTCGCCACTCCTGCTCGGACCGCCACGGCTCTGTGTCGCTTTCCATTTATCAGGAGTCTCTTGATAATCAGGACAAAACCTCCTTGTCGCGAGCACCCGCTCCACCTTGCCGCCAAGCAGGCAGACTGCGAAGGCATCGAGCTAGAAGCACGCCTTCTGCGAGCCTTCCTCAATCCGCTGGGACGTCACTGCAAGAGTTAACTGAGCGAGTTTTTGCTCGCTCGCCTTTCCTCTTTCCGCTCTTTTCTCCCCATCGTCTTCGTTCCCCTATCCCAGCGCTCCGAGCCCGCCGTGACTCCGAGCGGCACGCACCGCTCCCTTGTCTCACTTTTCTGGCTGTTGTTCCTCGGCGACGCAAACACCTGCGGGAAGTGCTCACAATTGGCCTGCCATCCGAGGGAGTCGAAGGCGGTAGAGCGGAAATCGGTCGATATCAGTCGATACGGAGATAATGAGGCCATGAATGTACATACATTTATGAGAGCTTGCCGGCTGGTCAAAGAATTTGGTAGCCGTACTGCCGCCCCCCCCCCCCTTCCCCCCGGCGACCCCGGGGGACAACTTGTGTGAATATTTTATGCCGCTAAACATCTGCTTCGCCTTAACGTTGAAATGTCGACTCCTTCCTCCGTTCTTCTTGGCGTGGTCCTCGAAGAAAAGGTCCAGTCAGTCAGCCTGTAGTGCGTCTGTACGGTCGGTAGGCCTGCTTGCCCGCAGCTTGCTTGGATCGAGTAAATAAATGATGTTGAATCTGCTCTCGGTGCAGCCCAGAGCTTCCGGCCTTATGTCAATTGGAAATGGCAGCCAGCCGCCGCTCCCCTGCCGCCTGCTCTATAGGAAGGAGGAGAGAAGAAAGAAAACGGAACAGAACTTTGTTCAACTTTGTTGAGACCGACTTCCCGAACGGCCGCCTGACAAGAACCTCGGCCTGTCGATCCTGATCTCAAGTTATTCGTAGCCGCCCGACCAAGAGAACGACAGGTCGCTGCATCCGGCTGCATCGATCGGGCTCGATCGGGAACTACCGCGATCGTCTTCTTCGTTTTTTTGTCTTTCAATCCATTCAATCTTTGTCCGCGTTCGCCGACATCAGAGATTCCATGTCGGGATCATTCGCTGGACGGGGAGGTTTTTACCCTCGGCGAGACGCAGTGATTCGTAGAGAAATGTTTCTCGAAATCGCCGCGACGACTTCCCGGCATTGATTCCGAGCGATGAATAAAAAGTCTGCGCGAGGAGGGTCGTAATCGGGTAGGAGAACTGCGGGGTCGACGGGGAAACGGACCGGCCGGAGAATCGGGGCGATCGGGAGCACACAGTGCCGCCGCGAATACTATTAGCTGCGGAAAGGAATGCGCTCCAGGGGAACCTGATGGCGACAGTTTACTGGTTCGCAGGCGGGAAAAGATGACGAATGGTTTTTTTCTGCTAAGCACGTTAGGCTAAAATATTCGGGACTCCATTACGCTGGTCGGTCGGTCGGCGGTCTACGACCGGCGAGGTGGGGAGTTGCCAAAGGAATGCCAGTCGTACAAAAATATGTTGGCACGGCATGCCGGCACGCCGCCGGGAGGAACACCCGAAATTAGAGGACCGAGCCACAAGCGACCGAGCAGCGAGGAGCCGACTGGCTTTTCTTAATGAACGGCTACATGCAGACACGCCAGACACGGCCACATCCTCAATGCCCTCATATAATTTTCTCTTTTTTTGTCGATCCTGCCGTGACCGTTCCGCGGAGCCTCGCGCCCCCAAGGAGCGTTTTTGAGCGCCGTCCGTTCTGGCTTCCCTGAAAATAGCTCACAAGTGGCATCATCAGGAACTCGAGGGAAAGAATGGTTTCGTTGCAGCGCCATGCAGAAATGCACATCACGAACAGCCGGAATTCCGCGTCCCGGAGAATCGACTGTGTGCCCACCGATCGACGGCGAGCGATCTGGCAGATGGGGAGAGGTCCTCGCGACAACAACAACAACCTGATGAGACAAAAAGTCGACAGCTACCAGGAAAGAGCATCAGGCAAAAGGCCGTCGCGCGAGAGGTCGCCAAGGGGATGCACGCGGGGACGGAAGGGGGAGGGAGCACCGGGCGGAACTCCGGGGAGGCGAGCGGCGAGCTAGTCTGTCACTACTGGCTCGGGTAGGTAGGGAAACGGAGGAAGAGACTGCGTAAGCAGCGCCGTTGTCCTGCTTGACGGAAATCTCAGCGGAGATTGACATCCCCCGACGACGTAGCATTTTGACTAAGTTCCTCTCTCTGCGAGTTCGTCGCTCGTGTCGCTCCCAGTTGTGATACAGGCAGCTCAGTGGCTGACTGGCTCTCCGGTCGGTTGGTTGGTTCGCTTGTTCGCTCGGTGCAATGTCTGGCAGTAGTAGTGCAGGGAGATGCATTGACTGAGTTGCTAATGACCTCCATCCAGCGCGGTCCCTCTCACAATCCATCAGTCTGATTAGCGGGCTCCTGCGGCCTCCACGACGGGCTCCCCTTGACCCCTCCATCCGGCTTAGCGAGCAACCAGCCGTCCACCAGACGACACGACCAACCAGTGAACCAGTCTTGTGGGTCTTGGAGCCGACCAGCCGCTCCGTACATGCATTCAGCTGGGCATGAAGCGGAGACGAGTCTTTGATCGTTGAGCTTGACGCGACCGCTTCTTACGTCAGTATTCTGGTTTACCCCCGCCCCCATATCGTCGTCCCTTTCGTCGACGATGTATTTTTCGCGGTTGTCGCAGTCCGCGTTCCTGTCGTCGCCGTCGTCGTCATTGCTCCCACCAGTGGCTCCCGAGCAATAAGCCAACAAGACAAGCAACGACACTGACAGTGCCTGTCGAACTGTGTCAAACTTGAAAGACCATAGAGCTGTCAGAGTGTGTAAAAAGGGTGTTCTTCTCTACGAGACTCGATACGTGATACATACATACGGAATACATACATATCACGCAGGAGCAACCATCGAAAACGATGCTCACGCGATTATTATCAATTTTCACTGTTATTGCCGGCCCGCCAAGCGATTTGATTCGACAAAGGGTCGAGCTTGGGCTTTTCTGAAGTTGGTAAGCTTGACTCGGTGTTACCGCGACCGACGTTCTCCTTTTGAATAAGTCCTTGTTCCCCTTCCAGATGCCAAAGACTCTCCAGCAAGAATGGTGGAGTGTCCACCGCGGGTCAGTCTGACCGAGGGCGAAACCCTTCGATTGCCCTGTGTTGCCACTGGTCATCCGAAACCATCGTACCGATGGTTCCGAAGCGCTCCGAACCAACCGCTCCCTTCCGAAATGGGAGTTTTGATAATGAACAAGATGACGTTAGCGGATACCGGAAGATATATTTGCACTGCCAACAACACTTACGGCGAGGATCGTTGCGACACCGAAGTCACGGTCACCGGTGAGTTCATTTTCCGGGGAGAAATCGGGAACCTCGGGTACTTACTCCACGTAGGTCTTAGCCTCAGGATTCCGAGCCGGAAGGAGACTGGATACTCCACGATAGGCCTGCTCCTGGTGTAAGATAATGTACCGAGTCAGTATTTCACGGTGTCGTTCGACGTCCATGCTGGATAATTCTCAGTGGTCATGGTTGGGAAAGGGAAAACGATTTAATTGAGCCAGGAATACCGGTTTGGAAATAGAAATAGAATTTGTAACGATTTAGGAAGGATCTCGTGGAGTTTTCTGCTCCGATTGAGCGTTTCGTTCGATCTCGATCGAAATGAAGGGCTGTGAGTTTGTAGTCGAACAGCGATGCGCAGCCAGCCGGGCGAGCAAGCAGTCGAGAAATTGCACTGAATCGATTGCAGCCGGCAGTGGACATCGGTCTGATGGGCGTTTTCTTAGCAAGCAGTTGTCTCTGATTCTCTTTTGCTTCTCTCGACGTCTCTCGTCGTTTCTCCCCCATAGCATTCGACAAACAATCTCCTTCTAACGGCAGGAGAATGTATCCTGCGATATCCGTGGCTATTTTCCTCGCTGTCGTCTCCATTCTGCTGGGATTCGTATGAAATTGATGTTTGGTTCTCCTCTTGCGAAGAGGCCGACCGTTTCAGAGGCCGTCTATTGTTTTCCGGAGGGAGTCGGCTGATACTCGGGAGTTCAGTGGAGAACGGGCAAGAGGGGCGGGAGGAGATGAAACAGAGGGGCGGGTTCGGATTCCTACGACGGGGAGAAACCGCTTCCGAGAGGTCTATTCGTCTATCGTGCGAACGAAATTCAGCAGTCTTTTCGAGGACAACGCTTCGGAAGAGTCTGTCAACTTCACGAGTCGTCGCCGCCGCGCCGCCGGGACAGGTCGGAGTGCCATCAAAATTGCATCACCGGGAAACACTGATCGAAGCCGTTCTCCCCTCCCCGTCGTTGTCCCGAGCGGAGCTACCGGAAAGAATCATTTCACAATCATATCTCGGGGAAGGCCATCGACATCATGCATGGGCTCTTTTCTTTTTCTTCAGTTATAACGACCATAGCGGGAATATTGTTTACGAAGCAACGCGTCCCGCCGAGGCGAGTTCGCACGACACGTATATATTCACTTGATGAATAGTGGGAGTAATCGAGACAACGCAGACGCCCAGAGCTACGACTAGTGCTATGACAAGCCTTCCAGTCCGGCTGACTGTTGTGGGGCCTGTCAGAGGCGTTTTCTTTGTCACGATAATTATTAAACGTAATTGTAACTTTCGTTTATCATGTGGGATTTTTGTGCGGCTTCCCGGAGGATTTGCACAGGCCGCACGTCGGATGGTCAGACGGTTGGAAATCTCTGCCACCACACTGTACTTGGCGGCTCTCCATCTCTCGACCGCGGCCACGGCTTGACTGCGGGCGCCCGCCCGCCTTCCGGCTGGAGGGTGGCACGCACGCGGCGGCTTGGCAGAGCGAGCAAGGCGGTCGACCAGCGCGTAGAATCCACAGCGATGTGTTCATAGACAAATCGAAGCTGACCAAAGCTTCGTTCCATATGCGTTCGTTGATTCTTTTGTGATCCCATTGTTGTCCTTGTTCCATTGTGTTGATGTGTTCAGACGTCCTAAAGCTCGTCGTCACCGTCAGCTCCGCGCCTGCTCTTCTGTTCGTCCGTCCGTCCGTCGGCCTGCTCGTCCGTTTTCGTGTTGTCCGCTTGCCCGCTCGGCCCGCGGGCGGGTCGCTCGGCCGGCCTGCCAGCCGGCCGTTCTCCGTCGACGTACCGATCGACTTTTCCAGTCGCTGTTCGCGTTTTTCTCCGTTCGTCTCCTCCATCTTGGCTCCTGAAAATACGTCCCATACCCTTTGTCCTCTGCTTCCGTTTCTATTCGGTTCCTCGTTTGGGAGCTGCGTCCCTCGATTTTTCGCGCGTCCGATCCGGCGACGTTGCTCCCGTCACCTGTTTTCGAATTTGAGTTTCTCTGGAGTTCCCGGAGAATCCCCGGGAACCTGAACATTGAACATCCTTGTATCTTGTGGACCCGAGGGATCGATAGGAGGGCCGACGGATAGCCGAAAGATCACACACATGCGTCATGTTTCGCACGCGGACGCGGATCTGCATTCTCCATCTCATCCCTCGTCGTCTCGATTCGAACTGTTGGTTTGACTCCGTAGGCCGACAACGTACCCCGAAGGGGGACCAGAACGACCGCTGCGATTCCTATTCTTCCTTGAGCGATTTCCGAATAACTCGTCTGTCTCAGGCTACAGCCAGCCCGGAGTGACATAATCCCTTTGCGGACTTGTGCTTGCGAGGTGTTCCTCATCCATTCGTATCTGCAGGGGAGAACATTGGTATTGAGACGTTATCAGGCGACGCTCCCATAGGAACGAGGCTGTATTGGAGTCAGTCAAGTCAGGAGCTCACCGATCGGTCCCAATAAGGTGAAGCCGCGCGAACTTTTTCCCTTACCTCCTTGACAATCTCTGGACAGTATTTTCGAACTCTCAGGATATCAGTTCCAGAGCGCGACCGACTCCGATATTAAAACAAACTTGATACGGGTTCCATTTTCTCCCGAGTCTCTCTCTTCGCCGCTCTCACCGATGCTTGTCTCAACTTCAGAATGAAGAAGCTTCACTCGGCGGAGGAAAAACGAACAAAGAAAGAAGCTGAAAATACGAAGTATGAAGATACACTAACGGGCCGAGGAAAGGCGAACAAGGGAGGAGTTGAGCAAATCCAGAAGAGACACAGTTGAGCAGAAGTCTCACCCGGGGCCATATATGTGGTCGGGTCGTAGACTCAAAGTTTCCAATGTAGACGATTGCGCTCCGCATGTCCTTTCCTGATACAGCTTGTTTGAGTCAGGGAGCAACGTTCTCAAAATGAACTTTCTTGCTCAAAGAAATTTTCTCGAGACGTTAGCTCTGCGTCGGGACCGGGGAGTGCTACCTGCCGAAGGTCTCAGAAGCCGTTGTTCGATTGGAGGAGAAGCATCCCCAGAGCAGGGATGGTTCTCGCGGAAATCAAGAGAAGAGAATAAGAGTAGTATCAATCAATCAACCAGCTACGATCGGCTTCGGTAGCAGAATAGCCCGGGGCGAACAGAGTTCCAAACTACCCGATATTGCTGGATGCTCTCCGAGGCGGGAAGTTGCGTCGAAAGGAAGAGCCGGCCCTCCGAAGAGAGCTCCGTCGACTTCGAAGCGTGCTCGGAGGTGCATTCAGACGCGCATGCCGAATGTAGAGGTCTTCCAAAGGTGTTGCCATGGAGATACAGCTCCGACGGCGTCACGACTTCCTTGCGTATGGCTGCAAGGCGACCCTTCCCTGTGGAAATCGCGATGGAGCTGCTCACAGGGATTCTGAGATTCCTGGAATCGAGCGTGTCCTCGGCTCGGATCGCCAACCGTGAAGGTGGCGAGTGGCGAATCGCTTGAATGGAATGTCGAACCGTCCTGCGTGTTGTCTGAATCTTCCTGGACCTCTCGCCGACGTCCTGACGCGAATTCTGAATCACTCCTGTCCTCGCCAATGAGCCGGCCCAGGCAGCATGCACACCAACACAGGGCATCGTTTTCCCGTGTAGGGGACAGCGAGACATTGACCCTTGAATGCGTAGAGACATCGGTATGCCGTCTCACCCGTCGGATCGGACCGTCGATAGACCCGTATGCTCCACGACTTGCGGTTGCTCATGCAGGGCAGGGGACAGGAGGGTGGATGAACTGGCAGATGCCGACTCCTTAAGAGAGACCTCCCGCCCTGTGCTCCCGTTCTTTTCCACGCGGCCGCAAACAGTCCACCTTCGCCCCCACCCCCGGTGCCCTCTCGCCCTAGTCACTTCCCGCTCCATTCTGCCCGCAGGGTTTGTCCCTGCGTGCGCGTCGGAATTTCAAGCTTGCGTGGCATCCTTTTCAAGGAAAAAAAACTTCTACTACACAGGAACGAACGAAAGGGGAAGCGGACTGGAGCAAGCAAAGCTGCCGCGTTTTTCCTACTTTTGCTTGAAATCACTCTTGCGTTCAGCGCTTTCACGAAACTCAACGTCGACGAGGCCGACGCGCGAAAGCCTCCGATTCAGGAGTCGGGTTCGGAGTTTTCATTTCGGATTCTTCATATGGATTGTGTCGCATGCCGCAATCGATCTAGGAAGATGATCAGGGGAATTGGACGAATCGAGCTCAGCTCGGGAGATCGATTTCGCCGGAAATGGAAGCATGAATAATTCCCCATCTAGAATGCTAGCGGACGGGTTCGGACCGCTGAAACAGGCGATTCGGATCCGGGTTCATGTCTTGAGAATTTCCAATGGCGGGGGTCTTGTCTCGCCAAATCGGAAAGGGCTCTCCGAATTCCGTCCCCTATTTTCACTCAAGCTCTGGCCCTGCAGTCGATGACACGATTTCACGGCCGGATTCCTCCATTCACGCGTCGTGAAGCCTCAGCACTTCACCCCATTGCGTGAGATGCCTCCGCGAGCCAGCCCAGGACCGGAGATTCATTCCATGTCGTTGCAAGTGATCGCGTAGCGCTGCTCACTCCGAATTAGAGGGAAGAACCGGACCTACGCACAACGTATTGTCAGTATGAGTCAGTTTTCCACCGACCGGGCTTCGATCTCCTCCCGAGTAAGGAAAGTACTGCGAACCACGGAAGGAAGACAGACTCTTGGATTTGCTGCTCGAACGAGCACACAACGCGTCTCTATGCAAATGGTCCCCTCAGTGTTCTTGCTCCCTCTTATGCGAGAATACCGTCAACAGACCCAATAGCAGTGAGCCACCTCGAGGGAGAGTTCGCGACCGACCGTCCGTCTCTCTGTTTCCGTTCTCGGCCGGTTTATTTCCTATACTCATACATTTCTTCGCCGGGCCTATTTTCGCGTCCCGAGTCCGCTTCTCCGACGCACTGCGAGGAGTCGATTTGCAGCGCCGGGGCAGCTCTAGAACTCTAGAGCTCGACCTGGACGGTCGGCTGAT